ACAATTCTCTAAAACATCCTCTACACGCTGCTACAACACAGAAGATGAGTACGGAGGAGGGGAGAAAGAAGGGGGCAAACGTAGCGCAAATGTAGGCTCATGGGATGTCTAATGAGGTTTTCTTCTTAACGATTGCGTCAGGTCCAACGTTCTCCAAAGTTTTGTTTTCAGAAGAAGAAAACACTAACCGCGAAAGTTCATCTCATTATTTCCAAACAAAGTGAAGACTATGAATAAACAAAATCGATTAAATCTATTTCACATCCAATAATTGTATCTGTACAAATTGATACCTTTTTTCATCTGTGTATATACTAATTCAAGAACCGATGATAATTCGAGTCAAAAAAGTCAATAAGCGTATAATCCACCAGTTGTTGAAAAAAGTGAACAATAATTGAAAGAATTTTTAGAATACTGCGTCACTTCATCACCCACCGCAGTGCGTGGGCATCAGAACAATTGGAATGAAACTGCTGTTGAGAGTTTGATAAGCAAAAAAATTGTTTTTTAAGGGATGGTAAGAAAAAATCTTAGCATCTAACGATTACTACGATCAAATTATAAGGCATTACTACAAGCTTCTACAAAAGAAAATTAAAGATTTTGGATTTTTTTCTTGAAATAAAAACAATATTTTGTTTAACTTACTTGGAATATCATTCAACTTTTGCCGTTCTTGATCGAGTTTCTTTCTGAGCTCCTCAGCTTCCTTAGCTAATGCTTCTATTAGATCTCCTTGCCTAGAAGGAGTAATTTATCATAGAGCAACAGCCTAGAGAGCCCGTCTCCGCAACTAATCCCTTCAAACTCTATGAAAAATGATGATGCGCTTACCTAGCGGCTGCATCGCCTGCCGATATGGTAGGGGCTGCATTTTCAGGCATTTTAGTCGGTTCCTTGGATGTTGACGGTTTATCCTCAGTGCTCATTCGAATTCAAGTTAGACCAGCTAACTCATCCCAGCCTCGTGTGCAACTTAAGCAAAGGATGATTTAATAAAAGGGCACAGAAAAGAGAAATTTCAAATTACGGAGCTATAGCATGTGAAGAGGAAAAGAAAAAAGGAGAAGATGGAAATAATACAACTACCATAGCAATTGATCCAAAAAGATTTTTAAAAATGGTTTCGAATAATCCTGGAAAACAAACACCAAAAAAAATTGGCAAAATTATATATCTAGTAATTTTGGACTACGAATTAATTCAGCTTGGTCATGAGAGCTCCTAATAAAATCATTAATTTTATAGTATTTTATATTACTACATGATATATCTATGTAGAATACATGTTGTCTTTTATGTAATTTTTTATTATTTGTATATTATCTTTCTACACTCATTAACAGCTTCGAGAAAATCCATACCAAGATTTTCCGCAAGAAAATATTCTTTGGATAAAAATAGAAGTATACAATGAGTGGGATAAGAAAGGCTCATTTCAGAAAAAGTGCAATTTCCTCTCGCAGATGCCCTAAGAATAGCTCACAAGA